ATCTAGGTGAAGAATAAATGGGTGTTTATTGTATCATTGTATCCATTGTTTGTATCAATGAGCCATCTCCAAACTTAAAAACAAAAAGTGATAGTGATAATGATTCTGATTACTAAGGTGATGTTAATGATGAGGGAAAAGGAGAACAAATGGGAAGGAGAGAAAGCAAGTCAGGTCCAATTTACACAAAGGAAATTATTTTATACTATAATTTTTACACTGAAAAAAACCTATGAACTACATTGTACCATTCCCAGAAATTGTCATATCAACTTTAAAAGCATTGAACATGCAGATTATGGATATTTTGGCACTCAAAATGGAACCCTTTCTTTTTAGTTCATCAGCAAATATTTCCTTAGTATCTGCTCTCTGCCTGACTTATTTTGAGACACAGCACATTTCTTCCAGCTGTAATATTCTATGGTTCTGTGACACTAGGAGTCTAAATACAATAGCTACTGTAGCTCAAGGCCAAGTCACATTGGTTGCTGTCAGCTGGGCATTTCTTAAGCATCAACTTAGTACCTTAGCTCCTGGATTTGAATGTGAAGATTAGTGAGGCACCAAACGCAGAGACACAATAAGCATCCCAGACACTATTGCCAGTAGGAAAAATGAAGGAGCTGCTTAATCTTTAATACATTTTCATGGCCATTATTTCTCTTGAAATTGCTTTCAAAACCCTTTATTTTGCATGGATAGTTCAGGAATCTTCATCCTAACAGCTACCTTTCATTCAGCACCTACTATGGGCCAGGCCTTGTAAATAGGTACTTAACCTACATTATCTGCAATGCTTACAACAACCCATTTGCCCCATGGTCACACAGCTGCTAAGTGGCAAAACTGGATTTAGAACAGAGCTCTCTGTTACTTTAAAGCTTGGAGACTTCCCTTTGCACTGTGTTACTAAAACTTAGATTACAGGGAGGGAATCAGGATAGTGTAGCTTGGTTGTTTGCCTTTGTGGTCTGCCAGACTTAGACCCTCTCTGCCAAATCAGAAAGGACAAATACAATATATTCTTTTTAATGCCGCAATATTATCATTTGTTAGATGGTACTAAATAAAACGTTTACCTCCACACATTATTTCCCACCACTTTTTGAGGGTAAGGAAACTGTTTCATTCATCTTTATAGTCTCAATCCCTAACACATAGGTACTCTTTAAATGTTATTGAACTGAATTATTAATGGGCCAAAAGAAAAGCTGGTTATAGTAGTAATAGAAATCAAAACATTTTCTTACTCATTTTCTGTGGTACTGCTTTTCTTCACGAAAGCAGTTTTCTGATTAGTTTGCCATTTCAACTCTTCCAAATTGGTTGATATGCTGAACCCAGTTCTCACTCTTTTGGCCTGTGCTTAATTGAGCTCAGTAAGATAATCAGAAATCTGAGTCTGGAGTCCATTTATCTGTGACTGTAATTTAATCAGATTTATATAGCCTAAATTTACTAGCACTTCCATACTATTGAGTCTTTATATTTTGCTTATTTATTGTCATAAAAGCAGCAGAAAAATTTTGTTGAAAGCTTATGTCAGAGAAAAGATTATTTTAAAATTATTAGTTTTCCTTTTGAAGGCTACTTTGGGGTACCCACAGCCTGAAGATCCTCTTGGGATACTCTTTTTATCATCTCCTTTCTCACATTCAGTCTAGAGCTTAAAGTGAGAATTTTTTTTAAGTGTGTTTTCCTGGCATCTCATGTTTAACAGTGTCAGGGGTTTGTGTCCCTGGAACGAAAACTGTTTCTCCAGAGTCTTTTTTCTCTCAGCTTCCAGTGAAAAGAGGGGCGAGGCGAGCCAGTCGCTTACCACAAAGCAGTGCCACCACAAAGGAAAGATTAAGGGTTTAGAGAGAGGTCAATGTGGGTTTTTCTCTAACTAAACACTTTCCTAAAGTTTCCTTGTGGAAAAATAATGAAGTCATCTCAGAGTTTTTAAAGAATTTTTATTTCTTTTTCACCGTCTGCATTCGCTTGTCTTCTCAGCATGGATGTTTAATCTTCCTAGGCTTTGTGAATTGGCCCAAATGAATAAGTGGTGAGCTGTCTCTCTAGGAGCTAGAGGCTTATTCTAAGGGCCTAATCACTGAGTAAACACATCTTTGCCCTCCCTCTCACAACTGCGATATAATAGTCGAGATTCTAGCACAGTAACCTGGATATTGCAGGGACCAATGCTTTGAAATGCAGAATGGTTGATCCTCCAAAACAGACAGTGCCTGATCTTCGCCTGCCTCTTTCTTCTTTTTTAAATTAAATATTGCCAAAGAGATGCTGTTTTATTGCTTGATATTGTGCATTAGTGCCCTGGATTTCCAAGTTTAGTTTCAGTCAACACTGTCGGCTGCACTTATAGGGAACCCTGCATGTTGGATTTCTTAGTAGCCTCTTCGGCACATGTGTGTTTGGTTTGGAAGAGCATTTAAATTAAATCAGTGAGATAGCAATGTAAATCACTAATCTCTTTCCCAAAGTCTAAATGTTCCATTGCAGTGTTCTTGAGAGAAATAGGCATTTTAAAGATTTAGCCATTGCCATTGTTTAGTTAGAAATATGCTGATTTAAAAGTGGGCAGCTCTCTTGTTCCCAGTGTCTCATTAAATGTAGTTGCTGAGAAACGATCAAGCTGAATTAGAGGTTGACATCCCTCTGTCTATTCAGTTAGAGAGCTCCTAAGAAGAAGAGCTCTGACTTTGTTAATGGTGCCAGGTTCACATTACTTTCCCTAAAGCATCAGAATTCTTGACTCATTTACTAAAACTGATTTTGCATTGCCACTGCAATGGGGTATCTTTTTTTGCCAAGGGGCTGTGGCTCATATTAGTGTTCTCGTTTCTTTCGTCAAACAGGCTGGGACCCATGCTAGTTTAAAGACGCAAAGAAGACTGAAAGAGACCTCATTCTCTCTCTTGAGAAAGTTAGTCTAGAGGGGAAACTGGTAAACAATTGTAATACTAATAGAAAGAGATACAGACCCAGGAAAGGAAGCTCTTAACTCTGCCTGAGGGAATCAGGGAAGGTTTCATAGAGGCTTTTTTTTTTTTTTTTTTTTTTTGAGCCTTATAGGATGAGTAGGAATTTACTAGATAAGTATCTCTCTAACAATGTATCTGATTACAAACTTCCTAGAAGCCTGATACCGTTCTCTGCAGACATCAACATAGATGAAGAAACCCCAAGTCTTTCTTGTTCATCATTTTATTGCTACTGCTTCCTGCTGAGCCTGACACAAAGAGTATTTCAACAAATGCTTGTTGAATGAATGAACAAATGAATTAACACATAGAAGCAGGGTGGGATCAGCTGAGCTACTTATACGCAGGAGTCCTGCCCTTATTCTCATTACAAGCTGTCTCTGAGTCTCAGTCCAAAGCAGTCTGGCATCCTCATGCTATATGAGTGCTTCCACAAGCCTTGACTACAGTGTGGTTGATTTCCCTGCTACCACTGTAGTATCAGAGAAAAAACACTTACTTGGACTTGGAGTTAGACAAGTTGGGAGCCAGTCCTCGTATTATTTACTAACTAGCTGTGACATTTGGAACAAGTCCGCTTTCTAAACCTCAGTTTCCTCATATGCTAATGGGGTTAAGGATGCTATGTTAAGGATTTATTCTGGAAATTAAAGTAGATAACGTTTGTGAAAGTAACAGTGTCTCCTATTCATAGTAGATGCTTTTTAGAATCTTAATCTACCTAACTGTGGCTACTCTCATCTATTATAAAGTTTACCTTTGTAAGAAATAATTTTAATGATGATTACTGTTACTATTATTTGGATTATTTATCGAGATAATTCCTAACGTCAGATTTCATTAGCCTTTCATCAGCATGAGCCTTATATTTTTCTGTTAGTTTCCTTCTTTTCTTCAGAATCCCACACAGCAGATTTTCATTTGCTGTCATCACATTCTTATTTAACATAAAGGGAAAGATACTAAGCTTCCCTGAAATTTTCCTTTGACAGAATTTCGAAGATTGGTTTGTATGTTGTCTTTACCATAAAATTTTATCTTTCCTTTCCCTGGTAATTGTGAGTATTGTTAAACTCAGTTCTTTCAAGAACTGACTACCAAGAAGGTAGTCAACAATTTAAGCTCTTTAATCATTATAGTCATTGTTGGTAAAGCTAACATGTTGCAAACCATCAATGGCTACTTATACCCATTGTTTTTATTATACTTATTACCTTGTTCAATTTCAGTTTTTAGTTTTAATTATTGCATTGAGTATCCAACTATGACAGAAGACACATTTAAGAGACCAAATGTCATTTATTGAAAGCAACTTTTATTATGGCAAAAGGGAAATAATAATTTTCTATATGAAAAGCCACAGTGGATATTTTCTGAAATATAAACTAGAAAGAATGCATGTGAACTGAATATTTTTCTATCTTTTCATATGGCAATTATATGTTATATGCTGTTAAATAAGGGCTTAATATGAGAACACATTAAGGACTTTAAAATTATCTATAGAACAAAAAGAAAACTTCATTTCAGACCTTTTCCTTTCAAATGGAAGAGACTATCCGTTGTTCAGATTAAAACCATAAAAAATATGTAAGAGGAATTTTGTCATTCTGTTTTAATGAATTTTTTTCTCTGTATTGTTGAACAGTTCAAAGTTAATATTTCTCTTTACATGTATCTATTAAATGAAAAGAATAGTAAATCCATTTTCTTTAAGCAAAATACAATTCTGTTGCAACTTCGTTTGAGATAGGCTTGCACATGTTAACAGAAATCTGCAATAGCAGTCTGAAAAATTAGATATAATCATCCTAGCCTTTTTCAGGTGTAAGGAAGTAAAATTTTTTGATATTTTAGATGCTTTAGGAACTCCACAATGTAAAGTACTCTTTTAGGGAATAGCATTTAATTTTTGTCTTTGCTGTTCACATAGACTAATTATGCCTGTCTAAAATTTAAGAAATCTTACATTAGTGGATATCTTAATTGATCAGATTTTTCTCCTCTTTTCAGAGAAAGCTTCTTGCTATCTACCTCCACCATGATGAAAGTGTATTAACCAATGTCTTCTGCTCACAAATGCTTTGTGCTGAATCCATTGTTTCTTATCTGAGTCAAAATTTTATAACCTGGGCTTGGGATCTGACAAAGGACTCCAACAGAGCAAGGTAATACTGTTGTTCACAAGTTATAAGTTGGGCTTCTATTAAAAAAAAAAATCATTGTGTTTGTCATCATCATAAACATTTTTCATCCTCAGCATTAAACTCTCTACCATTGCATTTTATTAGACAAAAGCTGCTCATTGCAGCTAACACATGCAGTTATTTGCAATTGTGAAAATATACCTTAACTTATAAAAACTTTTTAAATTCAAGCATAACCTGAAAATAAAAATGTATTTCTCATCTTATTTTTGCAATGCAACAGACATTTCTAATATGTTTTTGAACTTTTAGGGAAAACTAATGTTTTTAATGATGTTCAGAAAAGGCAAAACAAGTCTAATATATAATCTTAGTAGTAAGTTTATTTTTTAATAACTTCAGTGAAGAGGGCAGGACTTTCTGCACAAGTCCAATGGAGTTGGTAATAGCTTAACTCTAGCATATGCTAATTGATGTAATCGCTTTATTGCACACATTCTTTTGCACACAGCCAACAATACTTCCATATTCTCAATAGGAAAAAAAATTCCTTTCCTAGTTGTCAGGATGAGTTTACTTAGTTTGTTAATCATAGTATCTGTAAGTGATTAACAATTCTTCATATTTTGCCTGTTTCAGTTTCCCATCTGAAATATATTTCATCATGTTTAATTACACATGTGTCTATGACATCCCATGATGCTACTTTGGGTGTGTTAACACAATCGTAATCGCAGATTGCTGGTTTATGAACAGGGAGATTAAATTAATTCATTTCAAGGCAAGCATATTATAGTTACCTAATTTAAACGATTATAGAACAATTAGAAACCATCTGATTTGTCTTTTTGTTACTTTATGGCTTACTGAATTTTTGGTCATCATTCAGACTTTGTTTTATTTAATCTGAATCAGAAAAGAACATGATTCTTTCCTTAAATGTGAGGCAAAATAATGTTGAAGCTATTTCCTAATCTAATACTTCATTTCTTTAAGCAAATGGTTAGGAAATTTCATGAGATGACTTCGTTTTGCCTTGGAAATGTTCCCTGTTATACATAAATAAAGAATCTTTAGCACCTGTATTTGTTTAAATTAAATCAGGTTATTATTCACACTCAGTTAAAGGTGATGAAAAGCAGTGCCACAAACAGATAAAAATGCCACATCGAAGGTCTTTCATGAGGCAAAATACAGAGACTGGAGACTTGGCTAAATCTTTTGCCATTCACTGGCAGTAAGGAATCTCCTCCTTTCCTTTTATCCACAACTTGATGGAGAAGGAAACACTATTTCTAAACCATCTGTAGTGGCTAAGTTCAGTGGGCTACCTGCTGTTATTTTGTTCTATCCTCCATTTAATTCCTTAGTTCCTTTTATTTTACAATGACAAAAAATTGCAGTGTAGTTTCTTTTGAAAAACAGTGTTTGAGGGTTTTTTTTTTATGACTGGCAATCAACAGCCATGTAATTGCTTTGTTATGTTTTACTAAAGAAGTCTGTTAAGTAGCACAACTTTGATACACTAGTAATAAGAGTTTGCAGGTTACAGAGACACCTGTGGTGACCAAAGCGACAGAAGCTGCTTATTAGCAAGAGCCAGTACAGCTGTGTCCTATTAACTCCTTATGACACTTTTTAAAAAACACTAAATAAAGGTGTTGTTTAAGGCTTTAGAGCTATTTCTCAATGAACTGCAGAACTATTAAGTATGATAAGATATTTCAATCTACATTTTGAATTAAGTATCTGTTATGAAAATTTGTAAAAGGTAATATTAAAGATTGAAAATAGGAACATCTAGGAATTCAATTTAATAAACATTTATAGGAACCACAAATGGGGCAATAGGGGAATGGGATGATTTCTATAATTTAAGATACTTGACATACTTATTCAAAATCTATTAATAGTTCTGTCCACATTACAAATGTAAAAGGTATCATATTTCTCTATTTTAGAGTAACAAAAGATAATCACTGGGTACTGAGTTTAATACCTGATTGATGAAATTATCTGTAAAACAAACACCCATGACACCAATTTACCTATGTAACAAACCTTCACATGTACCCTCCAGACATAAAAGTTTTTTTAAAATATCAGAAAATTAAAAAGCAAGTAATAAAAAAATAAAGTAACAAATAAAATTACATAGCTACTTTTGATCCATCATTATTACCGTTAAGGCAAATGGGAAGATACACATTTTATAAACACAAGGTGAAAATTCATTAGAATAACATATTCCCAAAAAGGGGATTGACTTTGACATATGAAACTGTAAGATAATTGATTAGGCTGGTTTATTGCTCAAAAAAAGGGTTTAGGCCGGGCATGGTGGCTCACGCCTGTAATCCTAGCACTTTGGGAGGCCCAGGCGGGCGGATCACGAGGTCGGGAGATCAAGACCATCCTGGCTAACACGGTGAAACCCCGTCTCTACCAAAAATACAAAAAAGAAAATTAGCCGGGCATGGTGGCAGGCCCCTGTAGTCCCAGCTACTCGGGAGGCTGAGGCAGGAGAATGGCGTGAACCCGGAGGCGGAGCTTGCAGTGAGCTGAGATCGTGCCACCGCACTCCAGCCTGGGCGACAGAGCGAGACTCCGTCTCAAAAAAAGAAAAGGGGGTTTAACTTAACCACAATTTTCTTGCCATCTATCATATCATAGATTCGTCAAAATAAAATTGTCTAATTGGGTTTCCTACTGTATTATCTTTCTTGGATTTTTACACCACATTTATCCAGAGGTGTTTATCATGAAAACTGATTATGTCACTCATTAGATGCTTTTAACTTTGAGTAACAAAACCTCAAGCTTTCACTCTCGATTCGGTAGACGACTGCTTACACTAATATTTGTTGATCTATGGGGTACATGTCAAAAGGTATTATGCCATCATTTGCATATTGTAAGCTGAAATGGGGACATATTAATATATGGAAATACAGAAGAGATTTCTAGGCATCACAAGTAAGTTTGTTGTTGTGGGTTTCCTTTTAACTGTTACTTTTTTATGATAGATGTAAGTTTGGAAATAAATTCCTGGTTAATAACTTGCCTGGTCCCATATGTGGTTAACCTAGTTCACACTGGCCATAAAAATTTAGAGAGTCCTGGACCTGTAAGCTATTTGGATGTTTTCTTAGTGGTTTTCTAGGACTACTACCTGATGTTATAGCTGAGGATGTTGATATCCAAGATAGGAAGAGACTTGCCAAGCAGATACACTTTTGCTTAAGGATTACTCTGATTAAGCCTATAGAGGCATTAGTTCTTTAGTCACAGTTTACTATGGCTCTCTCATGTGTGTAGGAGATAAGTGAAGGATATAAAACTAAGTGAATGCTTTGGTGAAGTCACCAGAATATGAGTATCACTTGCTATTATAAATTAAATTTCCTAATTTCTCTGAAAATTGGAATAAAAAAAGAAACACTTCTATAAAATGTCATAACCCCTGTGATGTTGATGATTTGGATTTTTACACCTCTTAAATGATTCTAATAACCTTCTTTCTTAGTTGAATACTTAGATTTTCCAGCCCACTGTGTATAAAATATGTTGGAATAATTCTTAAGTTGATCTTAGAACATTCCAAATATGAACTGAGACACGAAACTTTAGCTGTAATGATTAATGTCTGTCATCTCCCCTACTAAATTGTGATCTCCTGGAAGGGCTTATTCGTTTTGTTGGTTTCAGTAAACAAGGCACTTTTTTAAATTCTAGGAAAAAGAAACTCAGAAAGCATTTAGCAAATAAATATATGCATTTATTTCCATCTAAGAATGTTGCTTATAATTTCAATATTGCATATCTAAATAGGAGGTTTTTTCCTTGGAAAATATTCTACAGTCTTCTGGGCCACGATGTCTAGTTGGATTTCAGAGCCATTCTTAAAACAATGACAGGAAGCCCTTGGTAGTCTTGAGAAGTGCTAAAGGTATAATTTCTTTTTTTTGAAGAGACAGGGTCTCGTTATGTTGCCCTGGCTGGAGTGCATAATCATAGTGCACTGCAGCCTGAAACTCCTGGCCTCAAGCAATCCTCCTGTCTCAGCCTTGCAAGTAGCTGGAAGTAGAGGCGTGTGACACCATGCCCTGTTCTAATTTCTGAAATATTGGTTTGACCAGTAATTCTGATGGAAATAGTAGGATTTACCTGTAAAAGAAAGAGCTAAAAACAGATAGTTAACAGTAAACAAGAAGATCCTGTAAATCACTTCATAGTTATGCAGGATTGGTTCCAGGACCTCCTACAGATACCAAAATCCACAGATACTCAAGTCCCTGATAGAAAATGGCATAGTATTTGCATATAACCCGTGCACATCCTCCCATCTGCGTTAAGTCATCTCTAGATTACTTATAATACCTAATACAATGTAAGTGCTATGTAAATAGTTGTTATACTGTATTGTTTAGGTAAGAAAGACAAGAAAAAAGTGTACATGTTCAGTATAGACACAATATTTTTCTGAATATTTTTGATACTTGGCTAGTTTAATCAACAGATGCAGAACCCACAGATGCAGAAGACCAACTGTGTTTGTTATGTTTGTTCATTGAATAACACTGAATAATATGAACCGGGAATGGTGTGTCATCTGAGAATGCAAGGTGGAACAAGACACAATCCTAACCCTCAAAACACTCATAGTCTAGTAGGCAAAACAGACATAAGAGCTAATATATAATATGAGGTATGTATAAGGTACTTTAGGAGTATAGATGAACTTTATACTGACTTGCTGTACCCAAGGGGGTCAAAGAGGGATTTGAAAGAGATAACATACAGAAACATGAAGTTAGAACTTTACTCTTTTCTATTTAAAGATTTTATATTACCATAGTAGCATTCCTAGTCTTTTGGGTGGCAGATTTTACTACTCTTTACTAAAGGGCATTGGTGTTTAAAACCTCATAATTATGTATGGGGAACAAAGGGTCAGTGGTTGAAATAATTGAGGAGAGAAGGAATAGAGAGAGCTGGCCAGCTAATATAATCCTCTATAA